GAAGGATCACAGGCACAATTCTTCAATTATACAGACAAAAAGCACTACCAAAGTTCTTACTGACTTAACTGACCTAAGCTGTTAAGAAACTTTCAGGTTGCCAGTTAAGAGGAACAATTAATGCTTTCCAATACCACTCCATTATTTACAACCAATAAGCATAAAATTCTGATTCTTGAACATAGAATGGAGTATCAAGAGAGAACAGCTACTTTGCCCTCAAGGTCCAGCTTTCTTTCTAGACAGCAGTCTTAAAAAATACACCTTCTTTTAAAATTGCATTCTAAGTTTTGTCCTGGCTATGTTTCCTGGCCATCTTTAATCGCTCTTTGCTGCTTTTCCTCTCACACTGGGGTCCTATTAAATTGTTCTGAATTCTATCTCCTAGTCACTGAGCACAGGGTTTAGCCCTTGGACAGCCTCTTTTCTTGGTTTCATCCATCAGTTAACAAAAGGAGCATTAATCTGCCCAGCCTAAGAGTCTGCTACCCTATCCAACAGTTTCAACAAGATGCATGACTATTTGATTGACTAACTTCCCTCACAGTAATATTACCTAATATTGACAGTTTATGACTAGGTCAAATATGACTCATAAAAGTTGAGACAAAGATCATTTGATTCATTGTACTTAGTACAGAACTATTTTCATTAGACTATCAAGTCTACCAGTGTTATAACAGTCTTACTGTAAGCAGCTTACGTGACTGTCTTTCAAAATTACTTCCTTATGCTCAGGAAATTTATTAAATTATTAAGCATATATTTGAATAATTTCAGCCCATTATTTTTACTGATTTATTATTGATTATACTCAATCTATTCATTGTTAAATATTTTTAAGGTGCTTTGTTATATAGGTACTGATTTCTTTATATTACACTAAATAAAAATGAATGTTACTTCTTCCTTCGCTTTCACCCCTTACTCTGAAGAGTGGCTCTAAAGCCAGTATTTTTGCCTCCGCTTTCATAGTTTCTCAGTTACATTCACATTAAATATACATGGTGCTTTGTGTGCTCTCTAGAAGCAGAGCCATCCAGCTTTTAGAACTAGCATTTGTGTATAAGACTCCAAGTGGCATTCTCCATAGCCTGGATTTTACTAATACATAGCCAAAATAGTTCTGCTTCTGGACAGATAACTACTTGGCATTAAAAGCCCAACTAGTAGGTAGAATGGTACTATCCCCTAGATGAGTCAATGAAGGGGACAATGACATAGCCTGCAGACTTGCTTATGAATAGATAATTGCAAGTTACACATTCCCACATGAAAACATTACATCAGTTTTAAAGTATTTTTTTCCCATACAGGAAGTAATATACCCACATAAATACAATGCACAACATGCGTCTCTGCAGTCTCACTACCCTGTTACTATATATATATATATAGTATCTGTGATACATTGACCAAATACTGTAGTTGCTCTGAGAGTTTTCAGATTTTTGGTAAAGATATATTTTGTAAGAAAAATGTGTAATGTGTTACAGATAGGCAAGCAGTAAAAACCCATAAGACTGTATTAAGTGACATTTTTATTAAAATTTAAACTGTATATTACAGATGAGACCAAATAACATATGCAAAAGTCAAATAAACCTGTGTAACTAACTATACAAATACTGGTATTAACTGGAAGTCTGAAACTGAAGCTGGCAGATGCTTTTTAGAACACAGGATATGAAGCTTGAGGTATGCCAAGCTCAAAAGGACAGCTATATGTAACAAAACAAATGTGTTTTAGTTGCTATAACACAAGGGAAGTAAAAAAAGAAAACCTTAAACTGCCTTAATTTTCTTCTCTACCTAAGATACATTTAGGTAAGCCTTCCAGTTTAACAGATCAATGCCTTAATTGTACTATTGGAATTGCTACTTGCCTTTAATTAATTGGAAGGAATAAACTCACTGTCTACTGTTACAGGGTACTTTCCATGAATGAGAAATTGTTACCAGAGCACATAGATTAAAGGACAAATGTGTTTCCTCTGAAAATAGGAAGACAAAGCATATTGTACCAAGGACACAAACCTCACTACAGATACCAGTACGCACACAGTACAGAAACAAGTAGCAGTCAGATCCTTGACACACTGCTGACTTGCTTGGAGCTGCTAGACCAGCGAACTGAAGATTCAAGACAATGTTGGTTTACTCAACTTGGTTTAATAAAACTCTAAAAGGAATGAATAAAGCTCTGTTGCAGTTTGGTTCCTACTTTGTGCAGTGCATATGTTTTAAAAAATAGTTTCTCAAACATTTGTTCATCAGGGTGGGGACCATAAAACAAAATTCACCCCCATCTTGTGGATATACTCTCCTTGGCACAGGGCACAGAAGGACTTCACCTTGCCTTGGGGAGCAGCTGGGTTGGGGATGAGCTGGGATTTCAGTTGGGGCCTGGGGCACTGCAGGGGCACAGCCCAGCAGGGAGGCAGCTCCTGGATCTGACTAGGCAAGAGCACTGATCCCCAACCAGCCAGTCTCAACATTGCAACCCTAGTGCAATTCAAGAAAACCATCTGCAGCTGTTAATCTCGTGTGTGGCCTTCAAAAGCCTTATAGGCTGTAAATTATAAGTACAGACCAGTTTATTTTGCTTGAAAGGAAGCAGCTTAATATGAAATATAATATACTACTTTGAGTTACTCAGACTGCTCACGAAAAGAAAATCATTCACATACATTTAAGATTCCAGTATTCAGCTGACAAATAAAAGATCCATTTATGCTTGAACTGATAGTTCTAATGTTCAAGGTGATTATGTATGTAAAGTGAACAAGTTTTAAGCCTTAATTCTGGAACATCTGGTAATTTATATCAAAATTTTAGCTAGCATTTTTTAGCCTCTCTAAACAATTTTTTCCCTAAAACCAGTAGAGGGAGACAGGTTCTTTTTTACTCCTAAAGAAAGCAAAAAAAAATTACTTCCTCAAAAATTCACCTTCTGGACATTCAATATAATTTCCTAGATTATTCTCACTGAATGCCTCTTCTTGGTAATTTTGGACTTTATTAACAACGCTCACTTTGCTTGCCCTAAGTAGCTATTGCTTACATCTGCAAGTGTCTATTCAACAGTATGTTGCTGTATTTCATTGAGGACTTCTAACAGGTAGAATGAGGATATCAGTGCTAGTATTAGTCTCTGCTTGAATGAAAGCAGAAAATAGGCCATGGTTATGTTTTTATTGTTTCTTTGCTATGCAATAGCTTGCATGTGTTTTCACTACATGTAAAGTCTATAAGCAGCTCAAAATCTACACAATAAGGTTAATTTCAGCTGACTATATTTATACACATATAAGAAAAATACATATTTAAGGCTCAAACAAAGAAAACTCCACCCTATAATCAAAAGGGACTGCCAATAGTTTCAAGTATAAGTAAAATATAAACTTGGGTTAATTTCTCAGGACCCAGGGTCCTGCTTCAGTAAATAAGAAGTTAGGCATTTATTAGAAGCTAAAATACTTCTACAGATCTGGGAACAGTCAGTTAGATGTGCCCCCACAAAATTTAGGCAACATTCTCAAAAAAAACAAAACAAAAAAAGATGTGAGAAAATACACATTGGAAATTCAAGATTCTTCATACTTACCTCCAATGTTTTCAAATAAGTCATGCCCAGAATAGCTATTAGACCAGGAAACTGAAGATTCAAAACAGTGTAACACATTTTACTACTTGTTTTACTGTAAATATCTTATGATAATTTTATCTAGACATAGCATTTAAAGTTTTATCTAGTTTTTCCATATAACTTTTTTATAGTTCATATAAACAGAGAAGCAATTATATGAAAGTTTATTTGGATAGCAATGAAAGTGTTCCACTATACAGAATGCACAATTCCTATAATGTGAAGGCTTTAATTAAAAATGAAGCTTCTGAACATTCCTAAATGGAGTAGAAGTGGAAAAGTTAGAAAATGCATGTAGAAGCTTTGTCAGTGCTACAATATACTAAGGATGTACCGTGGGATAGTGGGTAGCCTATAGTATGCCTCAGCAAGGACTGTTAATATAAGAATGATGCCAGAAGAACCTGAGGAATTGTGGACAACAGGATGCACACCTGGAAATAGTAATCATTCCTTGGGTAAAGGTCATTGAGATAATTGGGAAAGCTTCTAGCAAGTTAGGTATTTAAAGTCCCAGTCACAGAGAGTCATACTTAATCAGACACCCAAAGATGGAGGATGATAAAACATCATAGTTACTAGAGTACTTGCCTGGATTATCCTGTGTCAAAGAATAAGTAAAAATAATAATTAGAAATAAATAACAGCAGCAGGAGCAAGACACTTCCAAGGTGATCTCCTTGCAGGACACCCCCTGAGGCAGGCTGCTGAAAAAAAGGTTACAGGGCCTTCTACTAGCTGCCCAGATTCCTGCAGCACCATGCAAGAGCCACATTCTCACCAGCAAAGCCTGGCATGTCCATTCTGGTATGAGCTAATCACATGAAGGTTCTTGTAGTAATCCTATAGTAACTGCTAACACAATTTCATTTCAGAGTTTTTCCTCAAGCATTGCAAGTCAAAGAAAATATTCTGCTATGGAAAAAAAATAAAGTCAACGTTGTGCCCTGCATTTGTTTGCAATTGCATGTGATATGATAATTTCTTCCCAGCAGTATACACTGCAAATTCACTGTGGTACTTTTCATGTCCCTGTCCAAGTCTAATGCTGTCCTGGGTTTGGCCCTCAGCCCCTGTATTTTTGGGTACAATTTTTGTAGTTTTCACAGAGTAAGTTAAGTGCACAGTACGTTTACTGCAAAACATTTGTAGAACTATTTTTCAGGCTGGGGGCAATGATTCAGATTTTATCTAATGAATGTTCTGGAAACAGCAGAATTTAAACTACCTGAAATCCTTGCCAAGATGCTTTAATTGGTTAAAAAAGTGTCTTATACTAAATGACAGTTATATAAGACTAGAGTACTGGCACATTATTCAGAAGCATTTGTAGCCTGCCTTTGCCGTTTACCTTCATAAGCAGAAATACAGCCATGCATCTGAGGGACAAAACTGAGTGTTGCTGTAATCAAGATGACCTCTGTTTCATTGAAGAAAAAACAAACTTTCTCACGCTTGACTGCAGCGGTCAGCCTGCAACAGAAAAGAAGCAAACAGTATTACTACACATTGCAACTCACCTAACAACTTAGGCTAGAGCTCATGCATGCGTGGGAGGAAATAATTAGTGTGTGCTCATGTATGCACCTGCACATTGAGAAGCTTCAAGAAGTAAGTCTACTAAACTGCATACTGCATGATTCGGGCCTTATTATGAACACTGTCCTCATGGATATGCCTTATCCATCAGATACACAGGAATTCTGTCAGGACCAGGAGAAATACAGCACTTACCCTAATTAAGGGCAGCACCTAGGCAGCATTAAAGCATTTGCAAACCTAGTAAGAGTATTAAAAAAAAACTTATAACTCATTTTCTAAATATAAATGTAATAGGCATGGTAATAGGCATCTGCTTGAGAAATACACTCAAGAGAATACCTGAAAGATACGGAAAATATGGATACAGGAATGGCACTTCAATAGTGTGACAGGACAATTCCACCCACGGTTATGAAAAATTAGGTATTCTACTAAGTCCTGCATTTTGCAGTGCAGCAAGCATTGAAGTTTACATTCGTGTGTGGTCAAAGCATAGAGTAGACTGGCGACTCTTTAAAACGTTTTAACAGAAAAAAAATCTTTAGCTATCTCATTTCAACTAAATCCCAGATCTTCCAGGAAAAAAATTACATTGCATGTGCGTCACTCAAATATTACCTCCACTACAGTACTGCATAGTCCTTTAGAAGAGCAGTTTTTTTCACCCAAGACAGGAATCACACCATAGTTCTTCACCCAGCATTAAGCAGGATCTTGATTCTCTATTTAAATCAATGGATGTTTTGTTCCGGCTGCATTGAAAACATAGCCCAAAAAGAACAAAGTCATCTTGGCTTTATTTCACTAAAAAAATCAATGGATGAATCCAACTGCAACATTTTGGCACCCTTCAAAGGTACCCGGCTGAATCCTTGACCTGTGAAAGGCTATGTGTCAAAGTACCAAACTAATCTAAAGCTAGGTCCTCCAGCTGTTTGTTCATATTCTGTTAGTGAGCTCATTTTGTTCCTCCTAGTATCATGTCATTGAAAACAAATCCAACTCTAGCCTGCTTATCAGGTTACGTAGAAGAATGCCTATCTCCTATCTGACATTAAAAACCTTGAAAAATCCGTAAGGTTTAAGTTAGGAACAAACAGTAAGCCACAATTTTTCTTTAAAGGGAAAAAGTCCTCAAGAGATTTAAAATCTGAGAAAAAAATGAATATGCTAGCTTTATAAAATGGCTCTACCATTCACTGAAGTACTACAAATTTAGTTCCTGCCTACTTTACTTGCCACAAAAAGAAAGACTACAATTGATAGTTTTAACAGACAGAAGCAGACCTTTTTGAATTGTGGAAAATATAAGAAACATCAGCTGTCATCTTCCTAGGTGTTTTAGAGAATTCCCTAGATGTCTTTGAGTGTATATACAGTGAATTCTTACAGCTTTCATTAAGGGACAAAAATATAGGTTTGAAATGGATTTTTTTCCCCCCATTTTTCTTGAAGTTATTGCTAGCACAAATCCTAGAGTTTGGAATAGTCAGGCTAAAATCCTGTTCTCAATTACACCAATTCCACGGGCCTAAGCTTTTCTCATACCAATTTCATTAGTTCTGCAATCACTATACAGTTTTCTAGGAAAAAAAGCCTAACAGATGTAGAGAGCTTATGCTGAAAGCATTTACACAATCCTCCTTTATCTGATTTTAGTGGAAATTAAACTTTACTCATTTCCTATTTGCACCTAAATTAACAGGGTTGATCTCACAGATATCTAAAACGTTCCCTGGGAGTTTGGAATTGGTTAGATGCAGTCTCAAAAGTTATGTTACAGTCAGAAGAAAAAAGAGAGGGTACACAAAGCAAAAAGATGAAACTGTCTGTTTCTGTGACAGTACGCAGCATAATGTAACCTGTTAAGGCTCCCCCAACCTCTCACTGCAGGGGATTTGCAGCAAACCCTAGAACATATTCTGTCTTTTGGGGGGGGGGGGGGGGGGGAGAAGATAGAGACTGCCTTGCAGCCCAAAATTTGACTTAGGAAATACTCTTCATTTTTGAATTTCCTTTCAAATGTCACACTTCTGAAAATTCAGTAAGCCTCTGGAGTATAACCACCAACACTAGCATTCACTAGCATTGCTTCGCTGCTCTATTTCCTTTCCTTTTTCCCCCCCAATAGGCACACAGCTATTGCACCACCTAGCCTTGTGGGGACCTAGCCCACCTCATTTTCTAGGGTCAAAACAGACCTCTGTAACACTGAAGACTGACTCATTAGAAACCATTAATTTAGCAATAAAGAACAAATGCTGCATTATGCTCCAATCTAAGCATACACAGAACCACATGCCAACTAGAGAGCACTAATGGAGCATGACTAACACCTTTGCAAACAAAAGGACTTCAAAAGACAAGCACGCTGCTAGCCTAATGGCAAAAGGCAGACAGATGTGCCAACAGAGGTAGAGCTTTTATTGAAAGCATTTTTAAAATCCGGGCTTAAACCACACATCCCTCTGTGATCATAAAGTACTGGGGATTGACGCTTTGGACCGTTGTTGCAAATGAGGATTTGTAAACATCTGATGCTGGTATCTTTACTGGCTTCACAAACCCGCAAACAATTAAATTACATAATCCCAGTCTATACTAAGTCTTAATGTTACAAAAGTTAGACTATTTTGAGGCACAGAAGACTTCAATTCTTGCCTAAAACTCAAGTCCTATGAGAGACCCTATGTCTGCAGCCATTCATCTAAAGGGAGTTTTGCCACAGGACCAGATGAGACAGCCTTAAGGCTGAATTTGAGGATCCAATTTTTTTCCATCCCAACAGGGAGCCTGCAGTTTGGGTGGGCTGGGGAAGAGGGTCACTTAGGAAGGGCTGGCAGGGGCTGCAAAGGTTCACACACTGTTTTGGCCAGAGGCTCAGAAGTTAGATGAATGAAAAGCATTTGTTGATAGGTGGGCCTTCTAGTCCTCTGGTAATGAAGCAGCCAAACCTACTCCATTTCTGAAATTAAGTTACAAGATTGCAGCCTGAGGCTTGCAGAAAGAGTTTGATAATAGTTACAGTGGGTGCAGTTTATCTGGGCAAACCAGTTTGTCTTGGCTTCAGTTTACCAGCCTGTGAAATGTAGCTTATCCAACTGCGGTTTTGTGAAATCCAGAGTAACTGCAAAGTGCTTTCAGATATACTGATGAAAGCTTTTACTTTGTATGTCACAGCTTGGTGGGGGAGAAGAGCAGTGGTGTTGGAATCAGGCCAGAAGAAATGATAATATAAAGGAGATAAGGTCCACAAGAAGAATTGTTGTCCTGATCTATTTTAGAGGTCATTCTGCCTCACAGCTATTTTCATCTCCACTACATTTCATAACTCTCAACATTTCCATCCACTGGAACAAACGCCATCAAGAAAAGAAAGGCAGAATGAGCCCTCTTTACTCCAGTGCCAACACTAGAAATGTAGACAGCACGTAGCTAACCAGTTCTAGGAAGCTCTTATGTACTGGTTCACAGTGTTGTTTTTCCACTTGTAAATTTTATCAACAAATTTGGAATCACAGCTTCTGGGTTTTAGTCATAAGAGGGAAACTTGCTCCACAACAGACTGTGAAACAAAGAAGTTACTCTATTAAACTCTTGATTTAACATTTACCTATTTCACAGAATTGGTGTGAAGCCTAAGTGCTGTAAAACATTTACAGTTAAAAATGCCTACAAGCAGAAATAGTGTTTATAAGTAATTATAGAGTGATGAACATTTACATGCACAATAGATTTAATGTTGGTCTTTAAAATAATGTTAGTTATAATAATTTTATTTTCACATCACTATTTAATTCCTACTTCTGCAAAAACATTCTTAAAAATGACTGTCAGCTGCATGAGCATGCAGCAATCTTAGTTTCCTATCTATACAAGGTTCTTGGTACTGGTTTCCAATTGTCATCTCCCCATGCCTGCCTGCCCTGCCCTGCCGACCCTCCCAGAGTCATGGACTATTCAGGTCAGCCACATAACTTTCTGCCCAAATCAGATATATTTGCTAGGATTATCAGTTAGATACTAAAACAAGTGTCTATATACATTTTCTGTCTTTTGAAATAAAGCTCAAAACAAAGTATTGTATTGGTCTGCCAGTTTTCCAGCGCCAGGATACACAATTTATTTTGTATGACCTTGCATTACAGTTTACTTCTTTTCTTCTGCAGTAGGTAGAAGTCTGCATTTCTATTTTCTAGCCACACAGCTTGGCACTAGCAAGCAAAGTACAGACAATGCTCTTTTAGATATTCTCCTCCTGCCTGATTTGTATGGATATTTTGGGAGGGGAGAAAAATATTTGCAACGCAATATTAGAAATATATGAATTGACATAAGAATAAAGAGTAATGGTTGATAAAGCACAAAGGGTTACAGAAACAGAGTGAAACAATTTCTAAGCTACTCCTATGCTTAGCTAGGGTTTATGTAGGTCAATACAAAACATGCAAATTCCCTCTGGCACATTTTTGGCTGTAATTAGCAAGTCAGATGGAGTATAGCTTGCAACTGTATCCTCCCATTCTTGTAACATTCAAATTTCCCAGGAACAAAGCAATATTAGGATCCAACAAGGGCACCAATGGCACTTTTTGCTAAATACTGTTCTTTCTTTCACTGTGAAAAAACAAACACCGCTCCAGTCTGTAACTCTCTGTTCCCATCAGCACCCAGACACACAATAAGCCCAATTTTGTTTTTCAACTTCCAAAACTGTAAATATTGTCAACAATACTCTACAGATGTCCACAAGGGCACCTACTTCATTTCAGCATAACTAGTGGACAAAAAAGGGGAGCTTGGCACTGCAGTACCTCTAGAAAGATTGTGGGAATGGCTTCCAGACCAGAAACACACGTTACAGTTCCACTTGATTATTTAGTCTTCAGCACAGCCCCCTTTGAACAGTAACAGAGGAAAATTAATAGGATTTGGACATGCATGAGACTGGGGAGCAGGAGCCATTTCTCCACAATGGTGTTTGCAGGGCACAAAGAAAAGCCACACATTATGGTTTAAAACCTCAACTTACTTCCTAAAGAGCACTCACACATGCATTCATTTGCATGCCTGCTCACACTTAGGCACACTGAACAGTGTGCAGTCACACTGATGCCTCTGCACATTCACTCGCACATGCTTGCTCACACACTCACTTGGTCACACAGTTGCATCCACTTGCACTCACTTGTGCTTCCCCTCTCCTTTGCGATTTTCTTACTGGTAATTTTTCAGCTATGCGCTTTTTATTTTCAGCTCCAACCTTACGCTCTGCTAATGGCCTTTATTATTTTGCCTGTAATTGAAAATAGATTCTCACCAGGAACCAAGCACTGTAATTTAAGATCCTGAAAGGAGAGTCATCTGAGGTTTGTACAATTCATGAGAGAAACAAGGTAATAGCACTTTTCATCCACCATGCCTGAAAGAGCAGAACTGTACTTTGCACACCACACAAAGCGAGGAGTGTGCTCTGAACTTCAGTCTCTTGGAGATCTGTCAGAATCCTACCACATCTTTCTCCACAAAGCAGTTAGGTTTACACTTTAACTTCAACTTGCAATCCAGCCTGTAAGGTAGAATTGCTTCACAGAGCAAAAAGACAAGAGTTAAGAAGCTGCAACATACAACACCGACAAAACATATGCAGCAGTGTTGAGCACGTTCTTCATTAATCCCATTTTATCTTATTTTTCCTCTTCTCAACTCACACCTAGCCTTCTTGCTCTACTACTGCTGCACTAGACTGTTATGCTTTCCCCACACCACACATTTTAGAAAACGTTAGATGAAAATATGAAAAAAACAGCAAATAACAAATCCTAGAAGATAATAGCACAGCACACAGTGGCCATACTGGTTCAGGTAAAAGATCCATCCAGCCCAACATCCTGTCTCCCACAGTGGCCAGAGAACTGCAAGCTATCCCAGCCTCTAGTGATCTGTAGTTCAGGGACATCCCAAGACAGAAATTATATTTTTACTTTTTTGTCCTAAACGAATTTTTCCAAGAAGGTATTCAGATACCTTTTGAATCCACTTAAACTTCAGAGTTCTACCATTTATTTAACTGGGTGCTAAATGGGGGGGGGAAGAGGGACCCACAGACAGAAACATTGATTTGTTTTGAATCTGCCACCTGATCATTTCATTTGATGCTTTTTTCTTGTATCACAAGAAATAGCAGGCATTTCTTTACTATCTACCTCCAGAGCACCGCTCTATTTTACAAATCTCTGCCATCTCTGTCCCAGTGTCATGTCTCCTGCAGGCTCAGGACTCTTTTCTTTCTTTTCAATGCAGAAGCCATTCCCTGCTTGTGCTCATCCTTGTTGCCTTCTTCTATAGGGATAGTCCAGAGCCTGTTGGAGGTAAAATTAAGACTGCTCTTCCTCAAGGTAAATCACTTTACATTATTAGCACATCATTTGCTGCTTTATCGCCAGCTGCTCAGTTTTATGAGACCCTTTTGCAACTCTAAAATTGAAGGTCAGCTTTCAGTTTTAATAGTCTAAATAATCCACTGTTAATCACAAACTTTCTCACATCACCCACTACCCTTCTGGGGGATCATTTATGGTAACATCAAGTGATAGCCTGGTAAAAATTCTTGTGAAATACCACAGCTGACTTCCCTCCGTTAGTCAAAGGTTTGGGGAAAAAAAAAAAACAAAAACAAAAAACCCCAGACACCACAAAACAAAAAAAGCTGTTTCCTACCCATTTTTCTCCCTGAAATGACTGAATGGTAACTATATGCATTTAATTATGATGGGAAAGAAGTCGATACGATTTTAAATGATTGAGGCTTCTTTTTTAAATGACCAGTGCAATCTTAAACATAGCTGGTGGATATCTGGTCCTTGCCTAATGCTCAGGTGCTATTGTTCTCCTGTATAATGGCAATAGCATTATATAAACTGCAGATGACTTGGAAAAAATATGAAGAATGGTGTTAAATATGTACACTGCATATCCTTTACCACAAGCCCTTTTTTCTACCTTTTTAATGTTTTCATTAATAGAAATCAGAGCCTCAAAAGAGTGCTGTAAATGACAAACTACTTTCTCCAACCGCAGTACCCTTTTACTTCTTGTTTCTTTCTATTCCTTACTAATTCATTTCCAAACCACTCTCTCTTCAGCTGGGATCACCAAAATAGCTTGCATCAGCTTAGATGTCTTACCTCCTTCTTAAGCCAGATACCAGTCGTTTTCAGTCTTCTCTTTGTGAGTGCTCCATGTTGCCTCAAGACTGAAGTGATCCGCAGGTCTTCTACCAGCATCCACATTTTTCCCTCCACCTTCAACTCACCGAAATCTGTCTTTTAAAACTAAGCTCTCTTTCAATTTCCTCTATAGAACAAAAATTGTCTACATCTTTTTTTCCAGTCAATGTAAAGCTGAAATTGTCAAGGAAGCTTTCCTTCCCTGATCGTTAACCTAAAGTCCCGAGTCACCAGTTTGCTTTAAAAAGTATCTTTTCCTGTAAGATACAATATATATTACATATATACACAATATATATGCATACAACAAACAAATGCTCAAAAGCACACAGTCATAGACCTAGGCATTTGCTTAAATGTTGGACTGCACTGAGGTCTAAATGTTCCTGTTTCCAGAAAAAAGTTTTTGGCTCAAATTGAGAAACTCCTGAAGAGAAACTAAAAAGCTGGAGCTGACTGAGCAAATTTATCTTTATTTAAAAAGTCCAATTGAAACAGAACCCTCTTTGATCAGACTCAGATTTATTGTTTTTGTTCTAGGGGAGATACCATATTATAATTCAGTAAATTTTATATTATGAGAAAGTTTATTCCTCATCATCATTTTCAGCCCTAACCTAATACTACATTTTGTTTTTCTTTTCAATACACAAAAAACAGAATATTTCTAATAATTTTAAAGTTATAAACAGCCACTTTGAAAAGGAAATCAGCAGCAGGTGGCCAGCCAGGTACACACCCAAGAAATGACAGACTAATGTAGAATAGCTTTAGATTTACAAATGTTCATGCACAGGGACCTCTCTCATTCTGTACCTATACTGTTCAGTCCCTAATAGAAAGGGGTCCTGCAGCTCCTACTACAGCAGTATGAATAGTTGCAGTAATAAGGATAACTATGTTATTTATTCTAGCCATAGTTTTTCTTAGTCGACATTAAAAGAAGATGGAGCAGGTCTCTACCTCTCCAAATTAACTAGTGTGATGGAATTCTTCAAGAGATGCAATAGATTCTAGTTACGTTTAGTAAATAGCTAACACCAAAACAGGACTAAGAAACCTCTAATCACTCACCAGAACAATCCACCTAGCGTTTAGTGTCACTTACCTCACGTGACCAGAAGTGGCTCCACCAAGGGACCCAACCACATACGTTGTAAGTCAGGGGAGAGGCACACATCCAAGCCCGTGGCTGTGGTTATGCTGCCTGACGTGCCTCTGATCCCAGCAGGGGGCATCCGTGTGGCCCCAGAAAGCTGGGAACCACCAGGCCAGACATGCTCCAGCCTTTGCCTAAAGCAGGTTCCAATCTGAAATGAGGTAGCCACATAACATTTGGAGAGAGAAAAAATAAGCAGCATAACTACTTACAGGTCTTATCAGCTTGTGACTGATAGAGGGCGAAAACAATCTCAAAACAGTCAAAGCAATGATGATCACCCCCCCCCCCCCCCCAAGCAGCAGACCTCAGAACAGCATGGGACCTGTGAGAAGAAACAGGATGATCATCATCTAGCTGTTGATTATTTTTTCTAACACTGTAAAATCCTGCATGTTTTTTTTTTTTCCCCACTGAGGAGCAAAGTACCTCTTACAGCAGAGTAGCTGACATGCTGTAAGGGTATGCCATGGTTAATTCACAATAACGGGTTCATGAATTCATATCCTTGGTTTACAAGGCAACAGGTTAGCAGCACTCCCCCTCCCCCTTCTTATAAAGAACTGCAGTTTTCAGCTCTGAATTCCAACTTTTGGATTAGTTCTATCTGAAATATTTTGTTCTAAATTTCATTTCCCAGAAAGGTTGTACTAGCTGAAAGTAACATACAATGTTGCTGCAATTATGCATTAGAAAGGGGTATCTTGCATTGGGAAAATTAATCTCAGCTGTGTAAGGACTAATAAATCAGACCCACGCCTCAGAGTTAGACAATCTACTTATCAGCAAACAACAACAGGTCTGGCAAACTTGGAGACAAACGTTCCTCCCTACATAAGAGACAAAGATAAGACTAATAATAATTTAGAAATAATTTAACAGGACCCTCTTAGATACCTGAAGCTCACTGAATTTTTAACTAGGAATGCTGCTAAAACAGAGTACAATTCCTCTACTCCCTTATCAGTCAGGACAGTCACACCAAGGCTTAAATGTAAGGAAGTTAAAAAGTTTCTGCTGAGAGGAAAACCTAACCTTGTTAGAGCACAAGATGACACCCACAAAACATAACTCAGGTGCAGAACAGTCTCCTGAAAGCCAGAAGGGGGCCATCACTGATAGTAAAGCCAATGACTACATTTGCATAACGAACTTCTGACTGCTTACATATGCAAAAACCCTCAGAAGTATTAATTAGGGAGGCCACCAGCTGGACTTGTTTAACAAGGGAAGATTCCAGGCAGAAGTCCTGATGGAGAAAACATATGGGCCATACACTAAGCTAGCTGAAACTCATGCAACTCCTCTGAACCTACTGCCTCCTCAAGGATATGCCAGCCACAGCAAAGAGCCTGCATTCTTGCTACCTCACCACTTTCAGATGAGATCAGACTTTCCACACTGGATCGGTTAGGCACTTAACCAGGACATGCTTAACTTTTCAATCACTATTTCCATTTCACATCTGTGATTACATCTATTAACTTGTAACAGTTGGGAAATATATAGAAAATTATCTTAACCTCAGTTCAGTGGATAGGAAGTAGCTACACATGTCAGGAAACCACATTGTACTAGTTAAGCATGACTTTTTCCAGTAACAGCACAGCCAGTATCATAGAGGGATGGAGAGTAAGCTGCTTCCTCATTTCTAGGTGTCCTTCCTAACCAAAATGAAACAAGTTATAGAGGTTAATATGGCTCCTGTTGCTACTCCTTCTTCTGGTGGGTAAAACCGTACAGAAGTTACTTTAGCACCAACAATTATTTGGACTTGAAGTTTTGGGCTTATTCTGTGGTTAAAACAGAAACTAATGCTAATGAGTTAACTGTTCTCCCCAGCCTCACTCTGAGGAAATGACACTTCCTGCCCATGCTGCTTTGCATTTGTCACTGCATTTCCCAGAGGGATAGAAAGCAGAATTTAGGTCTACTACTTTAAAGACATTTGATTACTTAATTCTCTACCTCTGATAATGAGAATTCCAGTGTCAATAACCTTCCAGGAAATAAAAACAACAACAAATATTAAGGACACTCTGATACGTACAAGCCCTCTTGAAATTTTCCCTGGTCATGTTATATTGTTCCAGTATGTTAGCAAAATTGTCAAAGACAATCCTTCCCTCTGTTCTCCCTTGCTATGCCTGGCAATTAAGAACATTGTTTCTCAAGTTCAGATTAAGGTAACTGCTTCCCTTGCAATACTGAAACCCTCAACAGTTTTCAAACTCTTGCAGCTTCCTGAATGTCGAAACCCAAGTCATTCCAAAAAGCCTTTTCTAAATCATCTAAAACAGCATTCTAACAGCTTCAGAAGCTCTCTGGCTAACACCAGCAGGGCAAAAAAGACCCCCAAAAACCTGTAAACGAACCCAAACAAATCAAATGAAAAGAAAAAAGAACAGCAAGAGTCAAAAAAAGATGACAGTCTTAATAAGCTAAGACCATCTTGTAACAAGCAACAGAAGAAAAAACAGCATACAAATAAAGCTGAAAGTCATAACAAAACAACCCCACACATTGCATTAACATGATTGTATTTTAATCTCACTTTATAAACCAAGATGAATTTTCTTGCATTCAGGCATGCTAGAGCATCTCACATGTTGATCACTGTCACAAAATCTTGGACTACTGCCCCAGCACCCTGTTAGTTTACAGACTGCTTATGTAAATCAGCAATGGACATTTTTAGTAACTATATTCTAGACTAGTCCCTGAGGAGTTTGGCATTGTGCTTGACAGAGGAAAAGAACATCAGGTGTCTCATATTACTGTTAGCATCAAGGGCACAGCTCCACACAGCCCTCCCCTCCCACCTTGCTGCCAATACCGATTTCAGGAAATTCCATCTGTCCTCCGTGTTCCCCTACCTCACTCTCCTGCAGCAAAGGCAGCAAACATACACACATTTCAAATAACCAGCAGCTAACTGATCTACCTTGCAGCCATTGGGAAAAAAAAATAGTACGGCAGAGCAGCATGAGGTAGGCTAGAGGAGGTACGCAGCACCAACTCTTTAAGCTGGCACAGCTGCTGAGAAAGAGGTGCACAGAATGATACCCTACCCCTTGCCTCCCAAATGCCTCAGTCTTTGTCTTTGCTGCAATTACAGCATACAGCAAACATAAGGACAAACTGTGTCCATGTAACCACGCTAGAAAAACCCAGCTGTGCTATAACATTAACCTAAGCCGCAACAGGTGAAGATGGCCACGTTTGCAGCATACCAGCTGAGGTCACTTCTGGCTAAACTTCAACCAGAAACCATCTGAGGTTTTCTTTCCTGCCTCAGCACATAGCACGTAAACCATTCCTGACAACATGCAGGTGACAACGCTGGGTCAGTGCCATGCAGTCAGAGAGCCATCCTGCTGCCTACAACTAGTCACGCTTGTGGGTCCTGTGACATGCCAAAAGGTCTTGTCCCAACCAGCTTTCCTTATGCAACACTGTGGTTTACCCAGATAGAACGCAAAGCCACGAAAGTGCAGGTTCTTCTTGCAGATATTTTTGGCATGTTCTAAACTGAACTGTAAGTATCTTAGGCTCTTTTCAACGGTTCATATGAGAATGGCTATTTAGATGTTTGAAATAGGTTGACGGTGATTACCAAAATGTATGTCAGAATTTATGTTTAACATAAATTCCTGTTTCCAGGTTCCAATAAAAATTATAGTCTACAAACCAGTAAAGAATGCCAACTGACCATTAAACTGAATTTCTAAAGTGAAAAGCACTGTAAGTAGAATACAGTTTTTGTAGTATTGAAAGTATTTCCTTGAGAGCTATGTAGAGGCGAGTAGTTAGCCTTATTATTCTAATAGCTTTCTCCTACCACAAAGGCCATTACAGAGAGTTTACACTCTCATTTTTCTTTCACATGCATAACCCAGAAGCTATGATTTCCAAAACCACTTTTAACTCAAATTCTCATTACAGTTAAGCACTCAGAATCCCACGCCAGTTCCAAGTATCTTGCCTAGGTTTCATAAATCCCTCAATAACTTATTTTCTCCTCTCATTTATATAAGTCATTACAATCTTACAACAGTTCATTAAAAATAATTAGTTTGCATATTTAACTACCTTGTAAAAAAGAATAGAAATGAAACGCACAGTGATACAATTTTGCGAGAATTTGTACATGGCAATCCTTCTTTGTTTAAAGACGAGTAGAGGAT